TGCAAGTCCCTCCATCCATTCTAGATTCTGGATTTTTTAAAAATGAACATTAACTGTCTGAATGATCATGAGGTTAGCTCTTAACTGCTCTATTTTCTAGCTAAAGAAAAGATTAATGCTTATAAAAAAGTAAAAATATTGACATGACTGGAGGCTGCTGTACAGTAACACTGCTGTTTTGTGTTCTTAAAGTTCCCTTTTTGTAACAAATAACTGTTTGACAAATAATGAACCCAAGTATTCCATTTCGGTTACACGAGGTGCAACAATGTTGTTCCTTTCCAAGTCTATAAGAAAAGAGAAAACAAGACAAAACTTCTTCTCCTCTGTCTTTTTAATAAAGATGTGAGTCTAATCCTTCAGTCCTTCTAAATTACCTGGTGAAACCACTGTTGAGAAGCAGAAATTTCTGAGCACCTTTGAGGGTGAAACCTTAAAGAAAAGAATCTTGGTTTAGAAATTAAGAGACTCGGAATTCTAGTGGAGCGGCAGGAATCTCTTTACCTCCAACTTTAAGCAAATCCCTTATCTTGCCAAAAGTCAGTACCTTTATTTCTAAATGAAGAAATAAAGGTAAGTAATAATCTCTGCCTTACTTACTTGAAATGAGATCAGTGAAGGTAAATATCTTCATAAACTGTAAAGGGTGCTATTTTGTACTGCATGAGCTAATGTTAGCATCATTTCCATTTTATCTACAGGGAAAACCAGTTCTAGCCAGTTAAATGGGCTTGTCTCAGTTCTCTCATCTATAAATGGGCAAACGATAGCAACCCCACCTACTTCCCTGAGTTGTGAGACTAGAATAAAATAATAGATGTGCAAATGCCTTTAAAATGAAAGGACTCTTCACTTGCACAAGATTCCAGTATTCATTTAAACCAATGTCTTTTTTTGTTTTACAAACAATCCTGAAGAAAACAATACATAAGTAAATTGCCTAAAAAAAAAAATAAGCATGTTTGATTACTACCTTCAGAAATTTCAAGAAATTGCCCATTTAAAAAAAAAAAATAGAAAAGAGAGGCTGAAGGTGTTATTGCATTTAAGGAAGGAGGAATAAAATTAAACCGTCTATTCATAGTGCTCGGTAAAAGCTTTTTCAATATCTGTATTTAAATTAGGTGTATTATAGAAATAAAGTGTTCATTTAAAATATTAACATTCAGGGGCCGGCCCCGTGGCTTAGCGGTTAAGTTCGGATCCCTGGCGCGCACCGACGCACCGCTTCTCTGGCCATGCTGAGACCACGTCCCACATACAGCAACTAGAAGGTTGTGCAACTATGACATACAACTATCTACTGGGGCTTGGGGGGAAAAAATAAATAAATAAAATCTTAAAAAAATAAAAATAAAAAAATATTAACTTTCAACTGACATTTGTTAACTGCCTAGTGTGTACCAGGTATATTCAAATGTATTCTTTTGGAGAAAAATATCAGCCTCATTTCTAAGTTGAAGAAACTGAGATTCAGAGAAGTTGCTCAGGTTGCCTCAGGTCAAACAGCAGATTCAGGATATTCAGACCTCAATCCCCTGCTCCTGCTGCCTTTTCTTGCGAGTGTTACCGTGGAGGCCTCTATTCAGCCCTGTGGGAGCACTCCTGATATTGAATCCAACACTTACAGCAGCAAGCCAGCAATTTTTGTTTAGTAAAAACCAGAGGTGGAATGTAACAGTTTTAAAGAACCTGGATAAACGGGCACTTTGCAGCCAAAACTTCTCTGTCTTCTTAAGTGAATTTCAATGGCTTGAGAAATGTGGGCTCTGATCTTTGAACTGTATACACTTTTATGTAAAGGAACTCATTTACCTCTCCCTTAAATATTTCCAGAGCCAATTCATGCTTTTCCAAAAAATAAAAAATGATTAATTATTGAACGTTAGGGGTTAAAAAGAGAGAGAAATAAAATTATGAGGTAATGAGATCTCAGAAATGAAGGCCATTTAAATCTCTTGGGAGGGATCAGTTGTTTAGAATGATGTGCTGCTGTTGCCACACATAATAAGTTAATCTTAAAACAGCATTTATCCTCCAGGATGTTAATGGTTTTTATACAGACTCGTTTAGTGAACTGGATGTTCTTTTCAGGTGTGAATTTTGGTAAGCTATGTTTACCGGGAATTTTACTTACTTATTTGGAAATGACACCATTCTAAACCATCAAGTCTGTTCCCTTGCATTCTACTTGCTACTTAGACTGGTCAATTTTAGGGCACAAAGCAAAGAGGCCTTCAAATTTACGTATCTGGATAGGCTGTTTTATTTCCAATTGTCTCAAGAATGATATTGACACTATTTATGACTTGTTCAAGTCAATTTGAATGAGTATCTGTAGTGTTTCTATTCCCTTGAAGAATTATCCAAATATAAGACTTGTTTGCAACAACTACACCCATCAATTAACACTGTGATCTCTTCGCTATGAAAAAAATTGCCCACAGAGCCTTGTAAATGGAAATATAAAACTCTTATTTAACATCTATTTATTTTCCCTTTATTCCCTCTTGGAATAACAGATTTTTATCTTTCTTGATAAGTAGTTGAGTTTAATCCAGAGAACCTTAGAGCAAAATAGATTCCTAGTATTCGATCTGGTGCCCACTAACAGTTAATAATCTTACCCAGTAACTTTATTTATTTATTTTTTATAATTTTATTTATTTGTTTTTCCCCCAAAGCCCCAGCGGATAGTTGTATGTCATAGCTGCACATCCTTCTAGTTGCTGCACGTGGGATGTGGCCTCAGCATGGCCGGAGAAGCAGTGCAGTGCGTCAGTGCACGCCCGGGATCCGAACCCCGGGCCACCAGCAGCGGAGCACGTGCACTTAACCACTAAGCCACTGGGTTGGCCCTTACCCAGTAACTTTAAAGGGACCAACAATGATTGCTGAGTTATAATACCATTTAACTACAGTAAAAGTCTGGCTTTTAAAAATGTTTATTCTTAAATTAAAAAAAGTCATTTCACAGATAAGGAAAAGCAGACAGGAAATGTAAAGGGAAGTAACTATAAAATTCAAATAGTAGAACAGAGTAGCAGACAGTGGGATAGAAGTAGCCACCTGAGGGGCACAGATGCCCAAGGACTTTGGGGCTCAAACGAGGGAAAGATCAGAGTAGGCTGCAGCTTCAGGAAGGCCTGCACTTACTTTTAGGCTGGGATTCCAAAGATAAGGTTTGATGACTTAGAACTTCAAGGATGATTATAATTACAAAGAGGGTTGGGTGGGCAAGGGAAAGAGACTGGAATCCCGGAATTCCTCTTAGAATGTCAATAGTCATGAAATTGGCTTGTATTGTTTCTGCTATTTTAACATTTCAAGAGAAGGTGTTTCTCATTGGAAAGCTATCCAAAGAATCTGTTCTCTCAGTTACCCGGGCTTTTACTTGCTGCTATTTGAATTGAGAGTGCTGTGTCCGATCCATCGGTAGCCAGATGCCCCAGCTCCAAAACTATCTTGGAGAGTCAGAGACTCTTGCTTCCAGAAGACAGCAATTTTGCCCTTCTTTCCAGCCCCACTTATTGTTATCCAGTCTGGACTTGAGCTTAATTCAGCAGACACCAAACCCTGTGCTAGGCACTGGGGAGATGCTCTGGAGCTGATAATCTGTAGAGCGACTAGTCTTTACTAACTATGACACCAAATCAGACTGTGGTAAGTGCTACAAGAGTGTTATAAACAAAGTGTTGAAGGTGAAGTTAATTCTGTCCAGGGGTCAAGAAAGGGCTCAGAGGGAAGGTGACATTTCAGAGAACCCTAAAGCAAAAGAAACATGTTGCTAGCTAGAGAAGGGGTGGATGTGCATTACAGGCAGAGAGAGCAGGAGGGCAGGGGTGTGGAGTGTGAAAGGACTGTTCCAAGAAAGGGTGAGTGGTTGACGGTGGCTGGATATAGAGTTACTGACCCCCATAACAAGTCAGTGCAAAAAAGAACATGATCAACATAATGTACCACAAAGCTACAACTATTTCTATTTCTGGATGTACAAAGAGATATTTGGAAGAAATATCCATTTATTGTCCATTGTGTGCTCAGCTCTCTGCTAGGCACTATAGAAGGTACAAGGGAAGGCCCTTGCCCTGGAAATGTTTATATTCTATCTGGAAGAAAGATTAAATCACATAAGATAATTTAAAATAATATGACAGCCTCTAACGCAGAGCATTAGATTGCCCCGAAACTCAAGCTACAGATAGATACCTCCAGAGAGCACTCCTGCTGCCCTGGAACCCCCCACAGGGAGTGGTGCAGGCAGGCTCGAGGCTAGCTGAACCAGCAGCGTGGGTTGGAGGGCTTGGGACTCCTCCACCCCAGAAACAGGAGGAAAGGTAATAGCTGACCCTTATATGGCACCTCCTGTGTACCTGGCACTGTTCAAGGCTCTTATACGAGTTAACTGATTAAACCTTCAGTTACTCTATTTGGGAGAAACATTTATTATCTCCAGTTTACGTATGGGGAAACTGAGGCACAGAGCCACAGCCAGGACTCCAAGCCACGAGGTATAGCTCCAGAGTCGTGCAGTCTTTTTCATGTTTATATCCTCGGAATCTAGCACAATATCCGGCGCTCGGTGTTAAGATCTTAAAAAAACCAAAGGCAGCTTTCCTGGAGTATTTTCAAGATAAGTCGATTCAAATCAAAATAAAGACTTGAAGCCCCAAATTTGTAAGGGAGGAGAAATGCATTTCAGCTGTACAGCCTCAACTTTTGCCTGCCCCAAGGCCAGCAAGAAAATGTTTCTTTTTATTTATATAATTTTTCCTTTTGTGACAATTTGGTGTTTCTGAACGCTAGGGGCTCCCGGATTCTCTGGTTTGAGAGTAACTTTTCCTTTTAGGATTTTTTTTTTTTTTTGAAGGGGGTGGGGGAAAATGTGGCCTTAATTATCCTACGTTTTAGGCAGCTTAAGGAAGGGGCTGTGCTTTCTGAATCCCTTCAGAGCCAAGTAAGGAGGTCCCTCTCTTTCCCCCTCTCTCTCTTTTTTAAAGGACCTCGTGAAATAAAAGAGCAGAAAACAAACCCAGGCGATCACAGCAGCAGCCGCGGCGGCAGCAGCAGCAGCAGCAGCAGCAGCAGGAGGAGGAGAAGTTGGAGTGGGGCAGGCGCTCCGGAGTGGCCGGGCTCCGCGCGGCTCCCATTCATTAAGGAGCCAGCGGCGGAGGAAGGTGGCCGGGCGCCCGCGCTGCCCACTCGCTCGCGCACGCAGACACACGCCAGCCCCGCGCGCCCCGGGCCGCGCAGCTCTGCAAAAGTTTCTGCTCGGGGTTTGGCTCTCCTCCCCCTGGACTGTGGAAGCAGGAAAGCAGAGGCGCACCAGGGGAGCAGAAAACACCACCGCCTGCAGTCGGAAGCGGGCGGCGGGGCTGCACTCTCGCCGCCGCGCCCGAGCCGGGGCCGACCGCCCCTCTCCGGAGCAGTACCGGCCGGGAGGCGACCCGGGCGCCTGGGTGTGTGGCTGCTGTCGCGGGGCGGGAGGCTCGCGCCGCAGCCAGCGCCATGCAAAACTACAAGTACGACAAGGCGATCGCCCCGGAGAGCAAGAACGGCGGCAGCCCGGCGCTCAACAACAACCCGAGGAAGGGCGGCAGCAAGCGGGTGCTGCTCGTCTGCCTCGACCTCTTCTGCCTCTTCATGGGTGAGCCAGCCCCGCCGTCCCCCGGCCCCCGGCCCCGCCGGCGCGCGTCCCAGCCGGGCCCGCTGCCTGCGCGCGGGGCCCCGTCCGGCCGCGTCTCCTCGCAGCGCCCGCCGCGCCGTCAGCCCCGGAGCCCCCCGCCTTCTCGGGGAGCCTTCGCGCCGCTTCTGGCCCCCGGGCCCCCTCCCCGATCCCCCCGCCCTCGCGGCCTGTAACTGAGTGTTTGGGCGTGCGTAGGCTTTCGCGGGCCACTGGAAACCCGCTCCTTAAAAGCCATCTCCAGTTGAAGCCCAGGCAGAACCCCACGGAAGGTGTGGGTTCGTGCTTTTACAACAGGGGGAGCTGGTTGAACCATGACCTAGAGCCGGCGGAGAGCGTGTTGCTCCATCCAAGTAAGATGGATCTCCTGGAGCGCCGGCTCCCGCCTGGAGCCGCGCTGCCGTCCCCCGGCTGTATGTAAACATCCAGCCCTTCCGCTGGTCCTGCCGCGGCCCAGCCGGGCTTGCAAGCCGGCCTTTCCAGTTGTTTCTCTCCTGAACCCCCCAGAATTTGAGGGTGCTGTCTGGGGGCTTGATGCGGGCCACTGCACTTCTTAGGCGCCTACTATGTGCCTGGTGGTGGGCGGTCTTACAGGCGTCAGTTTTAACGAGCCCTCTCCCTGACTCGTTGCAGTGCGTGCGAGAAGCCCCGTTGTACTGAGGAGGAAACTGAGGCACTGGGAAAGCAAGCTACGGCCATGTTTTGGGACCACAATTAATTGCACTCCCAGAACGTTGAGGCGACAGTCCACTTCTGTTTTGCAAACTAGTTGGAAGCCACAGCCAGAGGAGCGGTGGGAGTTAAAGGAATTGGAGTGGGAGAGTAAGGAGGATTTATGAACTCGGCGGGAGGAGGGAGAAAACTATTGACATGAATCCACAGGAGTTCCAAGGTTGAAGTCAGCGGAGAATTTTTCTTTTTTTTAAGCGAATCATGGTGTAATGGAAAGCGCACAGGACTTGTCATCAGAACCCTGCCACCCTGCCACTTGCTGGGTGTGCCACCTAGCTGCCCCATTGGCCTCAGTTTCCTCATCAGTTGAGTGAGTGGGTTGAACTAGGTGCTCTCCAAGGCCCCTTCCTGCATTAAGAACTCGGATTTGGTCCAGGAGCTGTTCTGCCAACTCTGCTAACTGAAGAAACATCTGTGTTCCCAATTCAGTTCCCTTAAAATAGAACTCCTGCCCGGAGACTGAAGTCCCCTTTGAAATGGATTTATCCATACAGATTGTGCAAACCTGAGACTTCTTGGGCTGGAGTTATACTTCCCTGCCTTCATGACTCTTGCTTTGGCAGGATCCTTCCTGAGGTCCATCTGTCCTTGCTTCACTGTCCGTAGTGAATTTTGAGAGTCAAAAAAAGATGGAACTCTTTGAGTTTGAAAATAAGAATGGCCCCTTTAGATAAGGAGAGACAGGAAAATTGTGCTCTGTGGAAGGGAAGAAAGGAGTGTAGTCCAGGTGGCACATCCCACTCCCACCTCTTCCTTTGATTCCACATTAAGATGCTATGTAAAGGGATTGTCACTGGGGGGCCTACCTTCCTGAAGGTGCCTGGCTTAAAGTGCACGGTGGGAAGATTAGTACTTAGAGTTTCACTGCCAAGCTGTTGAATTTTTAAAAGACCCTGCCTGGTCCCGGGGGAGTACCGGGAAACACTAAACACGTTCAAGCCGTTTGCTGTGAACTTGCCTGGGGCTGCCCAGTGTGGACTGCGGGTTTGGTTGGTGGTCGGGCAGACTCTTTCTAGACTGCCGGTGCAATGTGCCCTCCCACCAAGCAGAGCTAGAACATGCTTGACAGCCCTTGTACAGTTTCATTGTTCTCTTCCTCTCTTCCACTCTTCTGACTTCAGAAGGCAGTCCCCAGAGATGGTGCATTTTTATTAAAGGGAAAAGAGGTGTGAAGGAATTTACAAAAAGACACACCTCTCAGCTGTAGTGTAGCCAGGGACACAGAAGCCCCAAAATACATTGAAGGTGTGCATTGAAAGTGGAAGTGAGGTGTGTGTTTGCACGTGTCAGTTCTTCATCTGCCTGACTCCTCTGTGTCCCTCCAAAGCTAGTATTCTAAACCTAGTTGTTTATTATGTTTACTTACTGTTGGTCTGTTTGATTAAATGATTTTGTTTACCTCCAAAAAGTAGTAAGATAACAGGACTTTGTATTTCATTATAAGAAGCACATGGCTTTTCATTTCAAGGGTTTGTGCCTTGCCATTAAAACCATGTCAACCAAGTCATTTTCAAAGTGTATTATCAGTGTCTGCCTATGTATAGGCCAAACTACAATATCACTAATTTAATGCCTCTCTAACACCTTTAAAGGGAAAACTGTAAGGTAAATATTAACATGAGAAATTTATGCAGGAGAACTTGGACTGAAGAAAATTAATAACACAACATGTGATTTTAATATTCCACACACACCACAGTTCTAAAAAATTGTTTCTACTTGGTTCACTCTTTTTTTTTTTTTAATTTTATTTCTTTCTTTATTTTTTCCCCCAAAGCCCCAGTAGATAGTTGTATGTCATAGCTGCACATCCTTCTAGTTGCTGTATGTGGGACGCGGCCTCAGCACGGCCAGAGAAGCGGTGCGTAGGTGCGCGCCCAGGAACCGAACCCGGGCCACCAGCAGCTGAGCGCACGCACTTAACCGCTAAGCCACAGGGCTGGCCCTACTTGGTGTACTCATTGCCTAAGACTGTCAGTATCATTTAATTTTTATATAGTTTATTGATCATATGGTCTGGATTACAGGGCACTAATATACTAAAAAGAAAGACATAGTTTTGTGTTTATTCTCTCACAGGAATATACACCAAGATTGATCACCTTGTATGTGAAAAAAATAAAAGCTCATCTCCTATATAAGTGTTATGTAAGTGGACATATACAAGCAGTTTAACTTGTTTCACATATATTTTTGGAATGTTAAATTCTTGGTGAAAAAACTAAAAGTCCACTGTTTTTTTTCTTTTGTGAGGAAGATCAGCCCTGAACTAACACCCGATGCCAATCCTCCTCTTTTTGCAGAGGAAGATTGGCCCTGGGCTAACATCCATACCCATCTTCCTCTACTTTGTATGGGACGCCACCACAGCATGGCTTGACAAGCGGTGCGTTGGTGTGCACCCGGGATCCAAAACTGCGAACCCTGGGCCGCCGAAGTGGAGTGCCTGCACTTAACCGCTGCGCCACTGAGCTGGCCCCTGAAAGTCCACTCTTGTGTGAATGCCAGGAGAATCTGGTGTCAGAGAATAGCAGTGGGAGCTTACCTCCCATTGCACAGCTATCTTTGCAGACTAGTTGCTTTTATAAATATAGTTATGAATCTTTGCATGGTAATTTTTCTGAAATTGATTTTGTTTTCCTTTCTTTTTTTTTTTGCTGAGTAAGATTCACCCTGAGCTAACATCCGCCGCCAATCTTCCTCTTTTTGTATGTGAGCCGCTGTCACAGCATGGCCACTGACAGATGAGTGGTGTAGGTCCGCACTTGGGAACCAAACCCAGGCCACCAAAGTGGAGCGTGCTGAACTTAACCACTAGGCCACTGGGGCTGGTCCTGTTTTCCTTTCAATTATGTAAAAATATGCATCGCCTCCTGTTTTTTGTGCATTGTTTCTGGTGTATGAGGTTACATGAGGGCAGCAGAGAATATTCCCAGGCGAGAAGGGAGGAGCATCTACTGTCTTTCTAAGCTCTGTTAGCCTCTTTTTATATAAATTGGTTTATGTACTCTTCACTGTAACCTTTATGAAGAGATTATCTCCATTTTATGTTTTAAAATTTTTTGGTGAAGAAGATTGGCCCTTGAGGTAACATCTGTTGCCAATCCTCCTCTTTTTCCTTGAGGAAGATTGTCCCTGAGCTGACATCTGTGCCCGTCTGCCTCTGTTTGTATGTGGGATGCTACCACAGCATGGCTTGATGAGCAGTGGGTAGGTCCGCACCCAGGATTCAGACTGGTGAACCCTAGGCCGCCAAAGTGGAGCGCATGAACTTATTAACCGCTTAACCATTTTATAGATGAGAAAACAGATTGACATTGAAGTCGATTTGAGTTGATCCCTAATGGTCGGTGAGCATGACTGGAGTCCATTCCCCTTTCCTTTCCTCATCTGAAGAATCCTGAAACTCAAATTCTCATCTGAGAAAATCCTGAAGCTCACTTTGCAGAAAGTCTTGCCTCTCCACATTTCTCAGTTACCCATTTGCACCAAAGCAGGTAGATGAAGGCGGTTCAGCTCTTCTGGTCGGTGATATGGTCCTGTTGCTCTATGGCACTGTTTTGATTTGGGGCTGGCTCTTGCACTAAGTAATTCTCAGATTTTGAGGGTGCCTTTTTACCCCATGAGACACTGGTTCCAGAGAAAGAACGCACAGCAGTACACGGTGGTGGCATAAATACAGAGATTTGGTAAATCCAGGCTGAGCCTTGATCCTCTGCCTTCCCTCTTCCTTGTCTGCCTCCCCAGGTAGTTACTGAGAGCCTCCTGTGCACTTTGACGGGTAGGCAGTTTTGGACAGGTCCAGCTTTTTGTCTTGTGGGCTTTGCTCAAGGCCCTTCATCCTCTGAGCTCAGTTAGCTCATCTGCAAAATGGGGATCAGAATGGCTGCTCCATTACATTTCCGTGAGGATCAGAAGACATATTGGATGTGAAAGTTGTCTTGTCTCAAGACCTGTGCAAATGCAAGGGACTTATAACCCGGAGCCCTGGGTGAAGGTTCTGTGGTTGTATTCGTATATGTGTCTCAAAATCATAGGTAGATGAGACCATGACATGAATATTCAGTAATGATATTATGGTGAAGACCATGAAGCATTCACTTAAATAGGAGAATGTCACATTTGCCCAGTAAGTTGTAAAGTTGTAGACAGATGATTTCCATTCATTGTTTTTTTTTTTTTTTTTTTTTTTTTTGTGAGGGAGATCAGCCCTGAGCTAACATCCGTGCTAA